ATTCCCGTAGGACGAACTTGTGATTTATCCGCCATCTGAAGAGTGATCATAGTCGGTTGAAGCTTCTCCAATCCCAACTTCTCGAAAATCGAGAGTGGCATCAAGTTGACGCCCGCCCCTAAGTCGCATAGCCCTTTCCCGGTATATATTTCTCCAACTGCACAATCGATATAAAATCCCCCGGGATCTTCGCACTTAACGGGGTGGTCTATTTGGAGTACTGCACTATTCTCCTCCGTGAGTGTAACCACCTCATGAGCCTCAACCGGGCTCTCCATCTTCTCGTCTGAATCAGCCACAACCATCTCGACCTTTGGTATATTTTCCTCTTGCTCATGTGCCTTCTCTACCTCAGTCAGAACGTCATCTCTTGCCTCTTGGGCATCCTCAACTTTGCATTGACTCTCAACCATTGCGGCCATTTGCCCAATTCGCTCCTCCATAGACTTCATTTGATTCTTTATCGTAGAGAACTTAGCATGAGTGTCACCCATGAATTCTTGCGTCAGAGTCATGAACGAGGCGAACATATCTTCGATTGACGGCTTCTTCGGCTCATTGATGACCCTTGACACCGCATTCACCCCGACTGTCTCGTTCTTCATCCCTTGCATGTCGTTAAGCACCATTGCGGTCACTTGAGTCGCCAACTCCAAAATTGGGTCCCTCTCATTGGCCATCGCCACCTTCTTGAGCATCGTCCGCTCAACCGGCCACTGGTAACTGTTGGACGCCATCTCCTCGATAATTTCCAGCGCCTCATGTGAACTCCGTCCCAAAAGAGCGCCTCCGGCTGAAGCATCTATTATTGCCTTCATGTTTCCACTCAACCCATTGTAGAAGTAGCATATTTGATAATCCTTGGAAAACCCATGTTGTGGGCATCTCCAGAGGAGTTGCGTGAAACGCTCCCAAGCCTCGTAAAATGGCTCTCCATTTTGCTGCTTGAACTGGGTAATCTCGGTTTGAAGCCTTAACATCTTGCTTGGCGGAAAAAATTTCAATAGGAATTGTCGGTGCATGTCATCCCATGAAGTGACCGTCCCGGCTCTCAACGAGTTGTACCACATCTTCGCCTTATCTCTCAAAGAAAAAGAGAAGAGACGAAGCTTTATTGCGTCATCCGGCACTCCATTAATCCTGATCGTCCCGCATATCTCTAAAAATTGCGTAAGATGCGCGTTCGGGTCTTCAGTTTCACCTCCCCCAAACTGCTCTTGTTGCACTATTTGAATTAATTCGGGACTTAATTGAAATGTATTGGCTGCTATCCTCGGTTCATGGTCTCCACCAAAGTATTGATTTCTCGGCGGTTGGAAAATTGATCGAATCGGGTTGCCTTGCACTGTTTGGGCCTGTCGTTCGGCCACTTGACGTTGCAACTCCACCAATTGCTCTTCGAGTTGTCTTATAAGTTCCATTTGCTCGGCCATTGTAATCTCAAGAAAGAAAGAAAAAAAATAAAAATATTAGAAAAAGAGAAAAAGAAAATAAAATAAAATAAAAAAAAATGTCTAAACTAATATCTATTCGCTTTCTTCTAATATTAATTAATTCAACAAACAATCCCCGTCAACGGCGCCAAAAACTTGTTCGCTAATTATTTTTGCTATCCGCAAGTGTACGGCGTAGCTATAGGTAGTGGCGAGCAAGGTCGTATTCCACAGAGATTGTAGTTAAATTAATTAAGTATTAAAATAATGACGATTAAATATTATTTAGACTAATGACTTGGATGATGATTATGAACTAAGAAATGAAACTAAGAACTAATTTATCTAAAATAATAAAAATAAAATAAGATGCAAAAGATAGATTCTAGGTTATGCTTTCCTCGGAATTAATTAATGAAACGCTTATATTCATACAAACCTTATTTAATTTTACCAATCGTAGAGATAATCGCTAAAGTGATTTCAACTTTTCTCTCGAACAAGCAAATCGTAGATATTAATTGTTATCTATCTCCTCTCGGTCTCAAGATGAACAACTAACTCCCATAAGTTCCTAGGATTTTCGTTCTCTCGCAAGATCCTATCAACCTCTCGGTCTGTTTATTTTCTTACGTTATAAATTTCCCAATTCTAGCAATCAATTATCTCCTCTCGGTCTCAAATCAATTACAAATATGCATTAATAGTGGCCATCTACTCACGCAATAATAATATGCAGAAGAAATTCATAAACGAAAGATAAACCGGAATGAAATAAATAAAAACTAAATCATAAATCAATCCGAGTACTAACAAATCCTAGAATCCAAAATAAATTAGCCTAGAAACATGCTTTCAAAATAAATATAAAACATTGAGTTCGAAAGAAGAAAAGAAAAAGAAAGAAAAAGCTTATTCGGCTCCGTCGATCCCTTCTTCCCAGGCTTTCTCCCTCGTCTTGCTCGTGTTTCTAGCCTCCAAAGCTCTCCAAAGATCTGAAAATTAGGTTCTCTCCCTCCAAAAACGTGTCCAAGTGTTATATATATAGTCGGGGTCGAGTCCTAGTCGAAATAGGTCGAAAATACCGAAAAAATAGGAAAAACGCGTAAATCCCGTATTGGTCGCGCCCAGGGTCACACGACTCGTGTCATGAGCCACACGAGTCGTGTGACAAAGTCGAAAGCTCCCGTTACGACCCGTCGGAACGACACGAGTCGTGTCTCAAGCTCACACGACCCGTGTTGGCCTGTGCGTCCAAAACAGCGTAAAATCCAATCCTCTGTGCAGCGCACGGCTCCTGGTCGGTTTTCCGGCGTTCCATGTGACTCTCAGAGGTCGGACGGTGATCAGGCCGTCGCTATGGCGAGTTCCAACCACTTTCGAGCATTCCGGCGACATCATTTCCTTGGCAGCGGCATGACTCTGTTCCGGCGTTTCGATAGCATTCTTGTGGTCATGACGTCGGACATTGACGGCGCTCCAGCTGGTTGTCATCGGAGCTCCAGTGGAGAGCTTGGTCGCGCAGCTCCTCAAAAATGGCGATGGACATGCTGGTACGTGCAAATGGTTTGGGGAAGATGATGACTTGCAGCAAAAAGACCATTCTACCCTTACTTAAATGGTTTGATTGGGCTAAATTGTTTGGACATTATTTGGGCTGCCATTTCATCTTCATGGCTTCTTCCTTGGCCCAACAACTAAGAAAGCAGATTTCCTTTGGGCCCGTTTCAACCTACAACTCGCACATTGTGTTCAACCGTGTGTCACTGTTTTCGACTCCAAAAATTAATTCGACCCTCTTTCCTGTTAAAACTCAAAATAAAATACTTCATCATAGCTTAATAAAATTAATTAAATATATAATTAATTATATAATAATTAATTAAATAGTAACTAATTATATATCAAACTATGACGAAACGGACACGTAAATCACTATAAAATGCACGTAAATATGACGCATGTCAGAAGATCTTTGCTTATTTGTTTCCTTAATTACGATTATTTTATATTCCATAAATAAGATATTATGGATCTTATTATGGTACTTTGATTTGTAGGAAATCGGATGAGATAATGAAGGGAGAGGCGTGTATGATAAAGAGATCAAGGAGAGAGAGAAGAAGATTCACTTACCAAATTCTAATGCTATAATCAAGGAAAGAAATCAAGGTTGGAGTTCTATGCCTTGTAGAAGACTCCAACCCTAAGGAGATTCTTTTAAATACCCGTATGCAAGCTCTCATTGCGGCTGCTGAGTTTTGAAGATTTATAGAGCAATAATTGAGCTTCGTGTTTTCTGATTTTATTGAGTTGTACACAGTTCAGTCTGAGAGTTCGAACTAGCTCAAGGACTGAAGCTGTTTTATTTTGTTCTTTGTGTTTCGTCCAAAAAAAACTATTTTACAGCTTATACACTTAGGGAGTAAGTGTAGGTTTTTAAAAGTCCACGGGACGTGGCCGGAGAATTAGTTGATAGGATCTGTGTAGTGTTGGCTAGGCTTGAAGGGAGTTCGAGTCGTTGTAAATCCAAACTATGTGTATGATTGATCTATCAATGAAAGAGCTCTGAGGGGAAGTGGGACGCTTCCCTGAAGAGTTTTAAAATCTTCGGTTTATTGCTTCCGCATTTTTTAGTTCATACCCTCGATAAGCGCACTCCGTAGGAATTATACGTTTCAGTTGAAAACCAACCGGGTAACATGTCGCTAGCCCCGCCAGATAATCAGTTGCGAAATTTGTTTTCCGATTCACATGTTGGATTCTAACTGTCTATTTAAAAAAAAAAAAAAAAAAAAAA